TGAATTCAGGCCCTTGCACTTGCCAGGCAAGCGCTGATTCTACTGAGCTATCTCCCTGGCCCCTCACATGGTTATTTTAAAGCTCTTTGTGTCCTGCCTTGTATTTTGGAGGAGGTTTTTTTTTGGTGGTTTTTTTTTTTTCTTTTTTTTTTTTTTCTACTTCATGCTGCCTTAAGGGCAGGTCTGGTACAGCTTCTGGAGCTGGGAATTGAACCACAGTCCTACGCACCTGCCTGCATTTACCCTTTCCTTGATGGCCATCCTCCTTTTTTCTGTGCAGTGCAGAAGCAGGTGCAGAAAAGAAAGAACCGTGTTGAAGGGCCATATGCACGCATGCGTGAGTGTTTACTTGGGACTAAAGGCTGGGCCTTCCCACCAAAGGTCCAGTAAAGTGCCCTCTTTACTAGGGATTGAACCTGGAGTCTTTTTACAGTTAGCAACATCCTCAGGTTTTTAAATTTTGTTCAGGCCAGGGATATAGCTTGACAGAGCATCTGCCTGGCAAACACAAGGTCCTGAGTTTGCTCCTGGTATGAAAAAAATTTCAGACATGGTGTTGCTGTATAATGCTAGGCCTGATTCTCCTGTTTCATCTTCCTAGAGTGCCAGGACTATTTGTATAGGTGTGAAGATTTTACTTTGAATCAAGGTTTGTTTGGTTGATTGATTTTTTTTTTTTTTTAATTTTTTGTGTTTTATTTTTTTGATAGGGTCTTCCTTTGTAGTTCAGGCTGGCCCTGAACTCACTATGTAGTTCAGGCTGACTGCAACTCACCACAGTCCTCCTGCCTCAGCATGCTGAGTGCTGGGATTACAGGTGTGTGCCATAATGCCTGTCTGATTTTTATTTATTTTTTAAATGTACATTTAAAACGTCTACTTGAAACTTTTAAGCTTCAGGTCTTTTTCTTTCTTTCTTTCTTTTTTTGTTTGTTTGTTTGTTTTTTGTTGTTTTTTATGAGATAGTTTCTTGCTGTGTAGCCCAGGCTAACCTAGAACTTACTGCATAGCCCATGCTGACCTTAAAGTTGAGATCCTCTTGCCTCAACCTTTGAGTGTGTGCCACCATGCTTGGGAAAGTGTTACTTTTGAGAGAAAGAGAGGTTTTTCTTTTTCTTTCTTTCTTTCTTTTTTTTTTTTTTTTTTCAACTGTTTGCCTCTAATTTTGAACCTGTAAATTTTTTAAATGCATACTTGGATATATTTGTTTTAATATTTTTATTTAGGGCTGGCCAGATAGCTCAGCAGATTAAAGTGCCTGCTGAGGCAGACACAGGGGCCTAGGTTCGATCCCCAGCCTGCTGTGCTGGCCCTGGCCCCAGGGTGCTTTGAGACTGGGTGTGGTGGCACCCACCTGTAATCCCAGTGCCTGGGAGGCTGAAAAACAGGATGGATCACTATCTGTATCATGAGACTCTGTAGACCCTGTACACTATATCTATATATCTATCTGTATCTATCTATATCTATTTATCTATCTATATAATTTTATTTATTTATTTTAAACAGGGTCTCATTGTGTTGGCCAGACTGCCTTGAACTTGGGACAGTCCTCCTGCCTCAGCCTCCCAATGCTAGGATTACAGACAAGCATCATCACTCTTGGCTTTGTTTAAATTTCTGTCAAATATAATAACAATACTTTGTAAGCTTTGGGATTATGAAATTTTTATTCGGGGCTGATTTTCAGAAACTTGCAGAAAAAGCAATCTTAATTTTTACATCTAAGCATACTAGAGCTCTAAGATATTAAAACAAGGGCTATTCTGGAGAACTCAGAAATTGTCACTTGCTCTTCAGACCATGCCTAGACTACATTCATGTCAGCAAAAAGTACTTAGAAAAATTCAGTCCCCTGATCAGCCTTGACAGTCCTGTCTGAGCTGGTT